CTAAACTCTAGCTATTTGGGTTTTTTCAAAGAAGATTTTAAGTTTTTGCTATACACATATAAAGAAAATCAATGACCCCCGGGCGGGGCCAATTTTGACCCCGGGGCTTTTAATTGAACAAACTTGGTAGACACCTATTAGAACATGTTTGATGCTCAATATCTTAGCCATAGCTCTTTGAGTTCTTTAAAAAAAGATTTTTTAAGTTTTTGCTATACACATATAAGGAAAATCAATGACCCCTGGGGCGGTGCCAATTTTGACCCCAGGGCTTTTATTTGAACAAACTTGGTAGACACCCATTAGAACATGTTTGATGCTAAATATCTTAGCCATAGCTCTTTGAATTCTTTAAAAGAAGATTTTTTAAGTTTTTACTATATGCATATAGGGAAAATCAATGACCCCCAGGGCGGGGCCAATTTTGACCCCAGGGCTTTTATTTGAACAAACTTGGTAGACACTTATTAGAACATGTTTCATGCTAAATATCTTAGCTCTAACTCTTTTGGTTCTTTAAAAGAAGATTTTTTAAGTTTTTATTATATTCATATAGGTAAAATCAATGACCCCCCGGGGCGGGGCCAATTTTGACCCCAGGGCTTTTATTTGAACAAACTTGGTAGACACCCATTAGAACATGTTTCATGCTAAATATCTTAGCTCTAGCTCTTTGGGTTCTTTAAAAGAAGATTTTTTAAGTTTTTACTATATGCATATAGGGAAAATCAATGACCCCCCGGGGCGGTGCCAATTTTGACCCCAGGGCTTTTATTTGAACAAACTTGGTAGACACCCATTAGAAAATGTTTCATGCTAAATATCTTAGCTCTAGCTCTTTGGGTTCTTTAAAAGAAGATTTTTTAAGTTTTTACTATATGCATATAGGGAAAATCAATGACCCCCCGGGGCGGGGCCAAATTTGACCCCAGGGCTTTTATTTGAACAAACTTGGTAGACACTCACTAGAAGATGTTTCATGCCAAATATCTAAGCTCTAGCTCTTATGGTTTTTTAAAAGAAGATATTTAAAGTTTTTTCTTTCGGTTGCCATGGCAACCAGAGTTCTGCATGGAATTAAATTCTTTGAACAATTTTTAAAGGTGACCACCAAAGGAACATTCCTGTGAAGTTTGGATGAAATTGGCTCAGCGGTTTATGAGGAGATGTCGTTTAAAGTAAAAGTTTACGGACGACGGACGGACGGACGACGGACGAAAAGCGATCACAAAAGCTCACCCTGTCACATTGTGACAGGTGAGCTAAAAAAAGCAATACTTATATTTTCATCTTACATAATTCACTAATCAAACTTTTAACATAAAAGTATCTTTTAAAAATATGTCTGGCAATTGACAGATCCCTACTCTGATCTTTTATTTGTAAAGGAATAAATTTAAACATGTGCTCTTTTGTTTAGGAATATTTTGTAGTGAAAGTCTTAATATATCCACTAATCTCATTATTAGAATTAGACAGGTCAGGTATTTATACAACCAGTAGTTTAGTTATCTGCGCTCATTTTAATCCCAATAGAAACATTCAAATATTTGGGGTAAAAAACATGACCAAAGTACCTAGTAGTCGTTTGCCCGGTGGTGATCCCATTAAACTGACTATAGATTCGAATAGAAAACACAAATAGAAACATGTGTTTCGGTACAACAAAAATCGGAAGTAAAGTGAACCGTTAAATGACAGAAATATGTGGTCAAATATGTTTTAACGAGGAAATAATTATTTCAGAGAAAGACGCAAAGATCAGTCTTTAATCAAATGAATGACCCCGTATTGTGTAATTAGAAAGTTTATTCAATTCTAGGGCAACGAATCATAATTTGATAGTCCATGTGTAATAAAATTTTCAATACAGATTATGAGATACATAAAAATATTAAAGAATAAGAAGCTTTAAAAAACAAAACAAAAAAAAACCGCATATATATACGAATGACTTACAGTCGAGCATCGGAAATTCATCAACATATCTTACGAAATTTTAAATTGAAAACGATATTTGCGCGCGCTGAAGTGATTTATGTTTATTTGAATAAATCAAATAAAAAGAAGTTATATGTTTGTGTTCTAAAAATAATTGGCGGCATAAGATGAATTTCGTTTTCATTTTACAACACTTGAAAAATTACTACAGAAAATATGTTGTTGTTTTTTTTGTTTTGTTTTTCAACAAGAGTGTGTGTTTTAAGTTCATTTATTCTCGGCACCGGAATAACCATATGTCCGAGATTATAGCATCGGGGACGTCTTTTTCAAGCAGAATCTTCCTGGTAGCCCATTCTTCGTTCGTTAGTGGTAAAGGAGACGACAGTACTGTCAAGGCATCAACTTCCTGACTGACGACAACAAAAACGGCATTCATTAGCGCCAAACCTCCAGAGTAAGTTACGACAGGTCAACCAATCACCTCTGGTACTTGAGATGACTTGACCTTGACCTGCCGTGTGCCTTCTCCGCGACGTGCATACCTCTGGAGGGATTTGGAGAAGTTTCAACAAAAACCTCCAAAACACGCTTTTTATAACACCATTCATAGCACTGACGCTTCGATGTTCTCATCTATTTGCGGGAAATGGTCGACAAGGAAAACCTACGTTATAACCGCACACCCTGTTAACAACAGATTTACCGCAGTATATATTTCAAGCTAGTGAGGTTTAAAATCTATCGATTAACTACCATAAGTTGGTTGAGTGTTGGCGGTAAAAAAAGAAGATATAACTTCCTGATCAATTTTCACTTAGGTTGATTCAATTTTGAATAAGCTTTGCAGATATGTATTTTTCAAGAAATATTTAGCTTTAATATTATCCGAAGCCGTCAAAGTCAGCGACGAGTAATGAAATGAGAATAATTTCCTGAAACGTGATTTTATTCGAGATTTGCTTCGGGAGAAGACAACTTTCTGTCCGTAGAGCATGAATATTAATACTCATCACAAGACAGTGTCTTATTGATCTCAATTATGGTACATGTAAATATGTATAATTTTATGTTCAATTAAAATGTTGCTTAACTTGCAGTTGTTATTATCATTCAATGATATTAAAATGACATAAAGTATTTATGATGAACAGTCCTAGAATATTTTGATAAGGAACCGTCAGTTGTAAAATGGTATTATGATCTTATAATGAACAGTCGTCATACCTGCTGGTGTGTCATTTATAAATGGTTTTTAGGTTTTTCAAAATTTGCATGATTAACAATCGGAATGTAGACCTCAATGAAATGTTCTGGAATATTAACAAAATGAATTGTCAACCATATTAACCATATATATGATTGGTTGAACACAACAGTCAGGATAAATGGCGCAATGTGCATATCTTCTTATTTTGGTAATACTTGAAATAACAGCACATTTTAAGCAAAAGTCTGAAACATTCTGTCATAGCCTCCCCATCAGTACATTCAGTGCTTTGATTTTTATAATCATGGTCAATTGATACTGTTGCAAAATTTTCCATGAATCATAATCTATTTTTAGGATGGTTATGTAAAGCCATTATGAGCTCTGATCGGCTAAAATTCCTTGACCAATCAGAGCAGTTCTGCATTTTACTGGTTCCACACAAAGTTCTGGTTTCCAGTAGTGTGCATAAATACAGGCACTTTACACATTTTTATCATTCTGCTGCTAATTTTTGGAATAGTAACATCTCTAAAAGCTCTCTAAGGTTAATTAATTAATTATTTAATTTATTTTAGGCACTTTGGCATTTAAATGAACCTTAGAGATTATCTAAATTCACTAAAACATTTTTGATAAATTTGTAAGTAATTTAAGTAATTATTTTCACAGAATTAATTAAGATCAATTAATATCTTATCTTTGTTTAAGTGGCAGCCATCTTGAATTATTAGATCTTTATTTTTGTTGATATATATAGAAACAGGGCTTGCTACTATTAAGATGTATTAGTTAAACAGCACAGAATCATTAAGGTTATTTTTCATATTTTCATTAATTAAACAACTTTCAACTGGTTTAACTTTTTTATTCACTAGCTTATTTTGATTATCATATTTTTGGTTAATTACAAACAGTTTATATTAAAGTATATTTTGTCAACTTGTTTAGTTTAAGTAACATTTAGTTAAGTGTAAATAAAAACTTAGTTCATTAAAAATTTGGTTGATTTGAATTTATTCAAATTTGTGTTTTATTTCCCTTTGCATTCAAAGGGTTGTGTCATCCTGACAATTAGATTTTTCCCTAATAATAAGTAACTATATTCTATTAATAGAAAACAAAGGGGTTTTTAATTTCCAACATCACAACACTGGTACCAAGTGGGATAGAGGCCTGCTTCTCTTTTTAGAAACACCACTTATTAACATATTTTTTCATCACCACAAATGCATAAAATTATCCCAACAAAAAGGCACAAAACCTTCAGTAGTTATGGAGATAACAGCTTACAAGCAAAACTTTACCACGAATTTCTAAGTGTAAAACTTGCATGTAAACATTAACCAAAAGACTAAGTTGAAAAGGGGGAGTTAAATCAACTTAAATGCAAGATAGAGTTATGGAACTTGGTCAGTGATATACAATTGCGACCCTTCATGCGTATGTGAAGTTTTAAATCAAAATCTCTGATAGTTATTGAGATATGTAAAACTTACACGTAAACATTAACCAAGAGACTAAGTAAAACAGGGGAAGATAAATCAGCCTAAATACATGACACAGATAATAACTGAGATATTAGACTTTACAAAAAACTTTAACCAAAATTTTTCAAGTTAAAAAGGGGAATAATTCTGTAGATATTGTAGGCAGAGTTATCCAACTTGTCAATCTGATGTACATTGTTACTATAAGTAAGTATTGTAAGTTTCAATTGAGTATCTCAAGCAATAATTGAGATATTTGACTTTACAAAAACTTTAACCAATGCAGACGCGGACGCCGAGGGGCGACTACAATAGCTCTCATATTCTTCAAATAGTCGAGTTTAAAATTACACTCTCACCTGTGATCAACAGCTATACAAACAGCGCAACAGACAGTATCATGTTCTCTACAGTACATTTGAATTGGGTATCCTGCATGTTTATCACATGCTAAACCGCTTTGTGTCTTCTCAAACTGGAGCTTGTCTGATTTCACTCCAGATCTATTGAAGATTGTGTGAGTCTTGAAGCATTTGTTGTGGAACTGCACGCATGCTTGACAGAAGTAAGTCTGGCACTCGGCACAGAAATTCACACCCTCGATGTTTTTGCCATCATCAGAACAAGGTTTACATGGAAACTCGTGAACGATGTCTGAAGATTCACTTACGTCAGAACTTGAAGTTGCCATTCTTTTACAAAACAGAACAAATTAAGACCGAATATCTGAAAAGTTAAATTGAAAATATTAATAACATTTTGGTCATATCAGAAATTGAATTTTTTAGAAATAAATATATATTTGAACTGTTGTTGATAAACATTCGTAACATAGTTTCGATCCAAATCGCAAACATATGTTGGATATATTTTCTTACTCATATTACCATATGTCGCATAATGGAGAGAGAACTCACGATATATATACAGTTGCTATTTCTAAAGCACCACAATCAAGTTGTTATCTTGTAAGTAAAATGCTACGACGGATGGATATATTGGACATGGCTCTTTATCCTATACAATTTTACAGCTGTAGGTTGATAAATACTTAAGTTATTGACCGGAAACTGTTTTCAGTATTAAGGTAATAGTGACCTTGACCTTGTGACCCCAAAATCAATAGGGGTCTTCTACCCAATATGGACAATCATCCTATGAAGTTTGAAAATTGCGGGCCAAATGGAACTTAAATTATGCTCCGGAAACTGTTTTCAGTTTAAAGGTAATAATGACCTTGACCATTGACCTTGTGACCCCAAAATCAATAGGTGTCTTTTACCTAATATGGACAATCATCCTATGAAGTTTGAATATGGTATGCCAAATGGAACTTAAGTTATGCTTCGGAAACTGTTTTTTGAGTTTAAGGTTTAACTTAAAGCAACTTTTTTTTTTCTTTTTTTTTCTTTGAACATTATTTGTGTCTCTCAGATCACTCTTGAGAAGAAAAAAGTGTTTCATTTTAATTATGAAATTATTATTGGTATTTATCGGCTAAATAGTGCCAAATTCATTATCAAATATGGTAACTTATATTTTCAAAGTCTAATAAAATAAAAACTAGACGGTAAAAGTATTTTATATTTGACAAGCGCAACCAATACACTTTTAAGAAAATGTATGCAGACTTTGAAAACAGCTTCTGATTTGAGTAAATTTAAGGGATATTTTGAATAAGGCCCTCCAAGTAGAAAAATGATCAAACAACTACTTAAAATGGGTGGGGTAGGGTAACATTTATATGCATATTTCAAACATTTTGGGTAGAAACAATTATTTTGCTGGGTCATTTGTTAGCTGAATGCTATTATTTGTTTCTTAAAAATGTTTTATAGGAAAACGTTTTTCATAATGATTTTAAAATAAATGTTTTTTCTTTTCTGAAAAATAACCCCCTTCTTCACGCCCGTTTAACTCACAACGAGTGAAAAATGTCCAGCGGTTAAAATGTTGTGAGCAACTTCCGTTCCTCGTTGTGAGCACCCATCTTTGACGTGTGACACGATAAACAAGGTGAGTTTTTCATAATTTTTTAAAATTACAGACATTTATGTAAAAATATCGAAATGCAGTTAGCTAGCGATGTGTTTTCCGAGTATGCACATGTAAATATATTGCCTGTTGGTGGACAATTTGATGGAAATACCGTGCGACGCAGTCACTCGGGGTCGCAGGAAAACTGGGGACAACTTCTCTTTGGACCTAATTTAACATTGAAAACGTCGATTATGGTGATGTTTTGTGCATTCTAACCTAAAACAGATGCCCACAAGTCTTCAGCGAAAATTATTATCTGAAAGTCTTCATAGAAACGAAGATATACCCTTTTTTGCTTTAATCCTCGTTGTGAGCACCATAACCTCGTTGTGAGCAAGACAAGCGCAGTGCTTGTCTGGTTTTAATATGTAATTCAAATGGCAAGAATACAATTTTCAATCTACCAAAAGCAATCAAAACGTTTTTGTACAATAGTTTTTCTTTGCAATAGTTCTTCTTTTTCTTTTTTGAAAATTATTCTTCATATTCACAAGTCATCAGATTAACAGAAGAACTAATCATTGGAGGTAAATCATCTATTTTATTTCGTATACTCTAGTGTGGCACAAGTGAACATCACGGGGAGTTTAGGAATATTTTAACAATTTCACAATCTGTGTGATACACACATACATGTGTTTATCCTGAGCTGAAGACTGACCAAGTTATGTAAAACAGGAACTATCACAGTAAGTTGACAATGCCCCTGAAGTGGTGCTTTGTCCTTTGATTTATGGACCAGATAGATTATTTGTTTTTGGACAATTAGATCTTCAATGTGAAGGTCATTCAAGGTCAAAGTGAAATAAATATAGGTCAGTTGGAAGGTATTTTGTCCAAAGGGGCATTGCGTCCAAATATGAATTAATTCCACTTACTCATAAAGAA